ATCTGGGATGATTAATTAAAGAATGAGAAGTTTCGAAAAAAATTCCCAGCTAAAATTTGATTGTAAGGTTGTATTAGCGTGTGGATATCTCGTTGTCTTTGAATATTCTTTCAATTACAAGGTGTTGTTGCACTCGACAAGAAGCTATAAGGATTACTTTAAAGATTCTGTGTTTTTTGGGATTGTTGTGTTGTTGTTGCAGGTGGATACTTTCAAGGTTTAGGAAAGTATGGATTGTTCAGAGGATGCTTCTGTAATACAAGAGCCTCCTGACCCCGAAGTGCTCGAAGTTGATCCAACTTTTCGATATATACGGGTAATGAGGAAGATCTCTCGAATTCACCTCTCTTTGGCTTGCTTTGCTTTTCATATGTGAAGGTTTGAGTAATCTTGTGTGATGATTTATATATCTTATGTTGTTAACCAATTGCTTGCGGATCTTTCAGTATAAAGAGGTTATTGGAAAAGGCGCATTCAAGACAGTGTATCCTTTTTGGTTTTTTATTCGATATTTATTTACGAGGTTAGAGTAATCTTAGTATCAGAAGTTTCGTAGACATACAAGTATCATGTTAGCGAAGATGTTTTAAGAAACACTCTAAGGGAACGAATATGTTTTGTTTATGTTCTGCTTTTTTTTCTGCCTATGTTCTGCTTTTTTCTGTCTGTGTTCTGCATAGTTCTTGGTTTGTACCTTAACTCAAGGAAATCAGTTATAAGGCATTCGATGAAGTAGATGGGATTGAGGTCGCGTGGAACCAAGTACGAATAGATGATGTTTTGCAGTCACCAAATTCCTTGGAGAGGCTGTATTCTGAAGTGCGTCTTTTGAAATCACTGAAGCACAGTAATATCATTAGGTTCTATAACTCATGGATTGATGATAAGAACAAGACAGTTAACATAATAACTGAGCTATTCACTTCAGGGAGTCTCCGACAGTATGTATCTCCCTTCCTCTCTACCACACAACACTTGTCTTTTGTTACCTTTTTTTCATTGTGGAGTATTGAGTAAATCTTTGGTTTTAGTTACCGTAAGAAACACAGAAAGGTGAATATGAAGGCCGTGAAGTGTTGGACGAGACAGATTTTAATGGGCTTGAGATACCTTCACAGTCAAGAGCCACCGATTATACATCGCGATCTCAAATGTGATAACATCTTTATCAATGGTAACCATGGAGAAGTGAAAATAGGAGATCTTGGTCTTGCCACTGTCATGGAGCAAGCTAATGCCAAAAGTGTGATTGGTATAGATTCTATTTCCCGTTTCTTGCTGTTGCTTACCTATTCAAATTTCCGCTTTAACCAAAACTTTGAAGAAGGGCTAGAATTTAATTCATGCTATCTTCTTTCTGTCACATCTTAATTTGTTTTGAGTCTAATTGAAGTGTTACTATGTTACCAACAGGAACCCCAGAATTTATGGCACCTGAGCTTTACGACGAGAACTACAACGAGTTGGCTGATATATATTCGTTTGGTATGTGTATGTTGGAGATGGTGACATTTGAATACCCATACTGTGAATGCAGAAACTCCGCTCAGATATACAAGAAGGTCTCATCGGTGAGTTAACAACAAAGTTATATATTCCATATGATCCCTTTCATTAATTTATGACAAGATTTTAACAGAGTCTGATTCTTGATGGTTCAAGGGGATAAAACCTGCTTCACTCTCTAGGGTTCAAGACCCAGAAGTAAAGCAGTTTATTGAGAAATGCTTACTTCCTGCATCCGAGAGGTTATCAGCAAAAGAGCTTCTATTGGATCCTTTTCTTCATGTGAATGGTTTAACAATGAACAACCCTTTGCCACTTCCTGACATTGTAATGCCCAAAGAAGGTGCGTTTGGAGAACGTTGCCTTATGTCTGAAGGCCCTCCTACAGCACGGCGTAGTAGACCCATGTCTGTAGATCTCGATGAAGACAATAACCTGCCTATTGTTACTTTTAGCGACAACTCTGGATCCAGGTGTATTGAGGTCAGACGCGCAAAGAGAGGGAATTTCTTTGTCCTCAAAGGTGAAGAAAACGATGAAAACTCTGTGTCGCTAATTCTTCGTATAGTAGATGAGAATGGTGAGCATTTTGCTTCAGCTCCAGTTAAATATCCATCATCTTCGTATTCAGAAACCTAATATTACTGCTGTTTCTTGTTGCTAGGACGTGTAAGGAACATTCATTTCCTGTTCTATCAAGACGGTGACACTGCTTCTAAGGTGTCAAGTGAGATGGTTGAGCAACTCGAGTTAACTGACCAGAACGTCACGTTTATAGCCGAACTGATTGATATATTGCTTGTGAACATGATACCCACCTGGAAAACAGATGTCACTGTTGATCACCTCATCCATTCGCAACTTAATCAGAACTCAAGAGCTCATCAGAACGGAGCTAAACCTCAGAAACAACAAGACGAGACTACTTTTCATGATGCTTGTGAGTCGGTTAGGCACTCGTGGAACTCTGATTGTCCGCGATCAGATGAGGAAGATAAGCAGTGTGTCGATGCCACTAAAGCAGAAGACGGGAGCTCCAACAAAGAAAAAGAAGAGGCAACCGAACCAGTAAGCTTGGAGGAAGAAGAGAGATTAAGACAGGAACTGGAGGAGATAGAAGCTAAGTATCAGGAAGAACTGAAAGAGATAACAAGGAAACGAGAAGAAGCAATAATGAAGACAACAACAAAGTTGTCTCAGATGAAGATAGAGCAATAATGTTCCTTCTGTGTTAATTTGTTGAAGAAGAAGCTCTTCAGTCCCTGAAAGTTTTCTTCAAGACGAGGTGTCGTTTCTTTTTGGTTGTTGAAAATTAATTTGGTCAAATGTTAGAACATGAGGAGAATGGTGTTAGAAAATTACAGATATTGTGTTCATATTTTTTCTATTTAATACGTTTCTTTTCACTTGAAGAAGTTGTCTCATGAGCATTTCATGAATCCATAAACAGAGACGAAAATGTAAATTAACCAGAAGGAGTTTATAGAAGAACCAAATCAACCCAACATTAAGTCTATGAAGAAGCTCATTGTAACACTGCATAATAAAAGCGACAAAACAAGGCATAATCATAACACAAACTTTGTCATATCACAATCACTGATCTGCAGGAAGTGCCTTGATGATGTCGGAATCACCTGGATCAACAATGCTGAGGCATGAAACACGGAAGTATTTACCACAAGCAGTACCCAAATCGACATTGTTTCCATTGTAATGATGAACTCCAACTTTAGCAAGCATAGCATAGTACTCAATCTCTGATCTCCTCAAAGGTGGGCAATTGCTAGAGATGAGAATCAACTTACCTAAACAACCAAAACCCAACAATGAAATACGAAGCTAGCTCTCAACAAACACAATAAGATTAAATCGATGAAGAAAAAGTTTTGTTTTTTTTAATTACCTTTGGAGCTGCGAAGGGATTTGAGAACAGATTTGTAACCTAGAGTGTACTTGCCACTCTTCATCACAAGAGCTAATCTGCTGTTGATTCCCTCATGGGACTTCTTCGTCTTCTTCGCCGCAACCATTTTTCGCCGCCGGTAAGAGTCACAGATCGCCGGATTGATAGGAAGAGACTTTCGTCGTCAAAGCAGAGAAGCTGATGAGCGGCGCAAAATGAGAGGTTAAATAGAGAGAGACCTTTAGGGTTCTTTCTTCTTCTTGTCGAGGTTCAAGGCCTAAGGCCCAAAATCAAACTCAATAAGGCCCAAAAGGTCAGGTTTTAGGGCATTTATGTGATTTCCAAATTTGCCCTTGAATTTTTGGCGGGACCTTTTGCGGATTTGATGGGACCGAAAAAAATTTGGCGAAATTGCAGAAAATGAGACGATCAAAATCCGAGAGATAGAAATTTCGAGAAATCTGAAATCAAAACCCTTTTTCGTCG